GCCTGACAGGCTCGTGTGAGTATGTTGACTATATCTCCTTCATCAGCCTCGAGGTGTTCATCTGTATAATACTTGCACTCTCTGTCGATGGAGTTAAGTAGTGTCTTCGAGTCAAGTTTCTTCATCTTCTAGCTCGGGGTGTTCAAGGGTTCCGGTCGGCTAACAGCTCCCAGGTACTCGTATTCCAGATACCGGTGGTCACTGAAGGAGTCCTGGTCACAGCGGACCCTCCATGCATCGAAGTCTGTGGGTATAGATGTTAGGGTTACATCGATGAAAGTGCCGTGGTTCTGTCCGATGAAGGTAGGCTCATTCCATCGTTTAGGATGGAGAGACCATGCCTAGCGGCCACTTCCTCGATGCTTGCTCCTCTGACGTTTGTGGCACTGCTCCCCCAGACCTCTGAGGCTGCATTGAAATCTCCCGCTACGAGTACTCTCCCTCCAGCTCTCTGAATCTTATCGTCCAGGCACCGAATAAAATCTTCAAACTCCGACAGTTCCCTATTTGGTGAGAAGTAGCAGCTAAATATCGTGAGGTTTGCATCCGCCAGGACGGCCCTGGTGATACCGCCAACAGAGCCGTAGCTCGCCAGCCGATTGTTGCCAGAGATCCATATCGCCGTATCGGCCGTGTCCTCGGCAATCCATCCCTTGTCGCTCTTCCACTTTCTCTTGGTATATTTTTGTTGCCTCCGAGATGATGCAGACATCGATTCCCTCCCTGTCTATCTTCCGTTCCATTTCCGTGTGTGCGGCGATTGCTCGCCGCAGGTTGATCTGTAGTATTTTGACAGTCATGGTTATTGGGTGTTGGAAGCGGGGACCTTCTTTCTATTAACCATCTTGAACCAGGTGTCTGATGAGGTGGTGCTAGTGCCCGTCTGTGATTCTGCTGGTTCCTCCAGTGTCCGTCGCGGATTCCTTTCCACTGAGGATTTTCCGCTTCGAGCTCTCTCCAGCAGGTCCTGCATCATTCTTCGTCTTTCTGGGCAGGCTGATGAGTATGCTGAGTGTCCTTCTCCGTTGCAACTCTTGCATTGAATTTCTACTGCCTTGCAGCTGCTGCTCTGGTGTCCCTCTTCTCCACACCGGTAGCATTTCCTTGCAGCGACTGTCGTAGAGCTGCACTGATGCGCACGATGGCCGATTTGTTGACATTTAAAACAGACTGGGAGCTCGTGCCAGGGTCGGAGCATGCAGATCTGCCACCCGATTTTGATACGCCCAATACGGAGTATTCGGTCCGCGTCGACTTTTGACGCTCTTATCACTGCCGACCTGGACCCTCTCTCGCTGTCTCGAACTCTTTCTACTCGAATCGTTCCCGGTTCTGCACCTCCCATCGCCTTCCGAATCTCGTCATCGATTTCGTCAGCATTTGTGACTAGATCGAGGTTTGTAATGAGAACTGCTGAGGAAAAGGGAGCCCTTCTAGCCTCTGCGGTGAACTTGAAGTCCTCAGTTATAAGGTGATCTCTTCTGCGGGTAGCTGCCCGCGATCATCTTCAGTCTCTACTTCGGAAACGTCCGTCATGACTCATGACAGCGTCCGCGACCAGCGGCAAGCCATCCTCTCTGAGGTTCTTCAGCTCGGTCGCTCTGCCCGTGCTCGAAGAGCTCTCGGTGCCATGATCTCGCTTGTCTCTCTTCCCCGGGCGGGGGACGGCAGCGACGGCAGCCATAGAGGCCGCCGTAGCGGCAGCACGTGCATCCGCGGCCAACATCACATCTCCCGCGGACTCCCTCTCCGCGGGTCCAGCCGAGATAGCTGGCATCAGCGGGTCGGGAGGGAGCTTGCGGGAGTTGACCGCAACGATTTCCGATAGGCACAAGATATCACGAGATCAGACGGAGCGACGGAAAATACGTCCGCACCGTACGAAGACTCATGAATGAATTAGTTTCATGAATATTCAAGTACGGAAGTACGATGAATAAGCGGCCCTCATGAAAGTGCCACTCCTCGTAAGAGTAAGGCATTATCCGATTACGAATCCGCAAAAAAATCCGGGAGCAAGGTTGCGGTTTCAAGCTCTGCGAGCGTGGTGCTTAAGACATATGGAGTGCAAGATATGAACAATTTGTTCTCGCGTGTATATATGCTGCATTCTCCGCAGAAACCGATGTACTCCTTCGAGTAGATTGCGAAGGACCAACGTTTGTGTAAATTGGTTTGCAAGATGAAATCCTTCGGTGGAATTACTGAGAGTATGATGAACCATTCCAGCTCCGTTCTGAGGGATGCGGGAGGAGCCAAATCGAAGAGCGATCGTTCTACGGGAGAAGCGTTTGGAGAATCGTGAATGATAATTGTAGAAGCGTTAGCTGCTGTTATCATAGAGTGATGTTTGATGGCGTCCTCTACTCCCAGCCGTGTGAAGGGTGTTTCGCTCAGAAGACGAATGATAATCCTCGTCAATAGACGACCGTCGTCTGAGCGTAGATTTCGTTGACGTGCTTTCACGGGCGCACGCAGAGTTTTGTCAACGCAGATATGCGGATTTCTATGATCGCGTTTGACTGCCAAATAATTTCCTTGCCAGTATTTTGGTAGCGTTGACGCCATAATCATCTCAATCGATAATTTGTACGCATAAGTCAACGACGGTGAAGGAAATTTGGTATATGTAGTACGCAGACAATGAGGTACGGAATCGTGAACGAAAAATAGTTACCGAAATTCCGGCGAGCCGTAGGAGACGTGATGAGTCTTGAGCCTTAGAAAGGCTTCGTCGAACGCAATGCCAAGATTGGAGACTTGATGAATTCAGGCCGCAGCAACGTCGCCGCAAAACTCCGGCGGGTTGAGTCTTCGGGAACGTAGTCTTGAAGTGAGGAAAACCGTCGATGACTGCGGCACCCAACTTGTCCCAAACTCCGAATGCGCAGTACTGGTAGAAACGGTTGTTCTTACAGTTAGGGATCGTTGAGCGAGTAAACTGTCTCTGAACTTTTGAATGGAGCTTGGTGCCGCGCGAAAATCTTTTGCCGCCAAATGCGAATCCGATCGAGGAGTGAGCAGAACTGTTTCAAGATTCAGTGTATCTCACGGAGTCGTCATTCAATGACGACTCCGTCATGAAATGGAATGATTTCAATGGACATGGAATGAGGTGGGAATTAGATAGGGAAAACCACATTCTTGATTAATGCGTCTGGAGCTTTGATTTTCAGACTCTCGGGATTGGTTACCCTGGATAGAGCCACATACAGCTGACCATGACTAAAGACATCTTCTTGTTAATGGAGTCCAAGTTTGGAGGAAGCCTGACCTTGACTTTTGTTGATGGTAATGGCGAAAGCGAGTTGGACAGGGAACTGTCTCCGTCGCATCCGGAAGGGTAATTTGGTATCGCAACAATTGTCTGTCCTCGGTATGAGCACGAATTCACCTTTCCGCAGTCCGGATACGAATCCGCATCCTAAGGTGAACTGACCCATCGACTGTATCCGAAGTCTCGTGCCATTACACAGTCCATTGGTTATATCCAAATTACGAAGGAGCGTTACTATTGCCCCGTCCTTGAGATATAACTCATGCGGTGGCATCCCGAACGGGGTTAGGGAAATGAGATACTCCGTCGTGAGGTGAATTTCATCTTCTTGGTTATCTTGAACAATTTCATCAATGCTGCGGAAGATTTTGTCGTCCCGAGGATCAAGGTCCTAGAGCTTTTTTCAAACAGTCTCGTTCAGCAGGTGAACATCCCTGTTTTTTGTCGCTAGAATCGCCTTACTGATGATATCTTCGCCATCAGACTCTTTCACAACAGAACCATAGATGTTATCCACCAAGCTCCCTTTACAGAGCATGTTTGATGGGATGGGTACACACCCTCGCGAATCATTAATGGTACCATTCCCAACATTCAATAAGAATTCATGCCAATGAACATCACTCTGTCTGGCACGTACATTTTCTGTGAGTGGATATGCTGCGAAGCGTAACCATAATGCAGATCTCGACACGCAGGCTTCGAGGATATCGTTCATCGAGCCTCTTTCTACGATTGGAAGGGTTTGACGAAATCCCCGCCGACAATAACAGTCACCCCTCCGAAA